GACTTGCGTTCTGGATATTGGCAACTACCTATCAAGGAGGAGGACCGAGAGAAAACGGCGTTTACGGTTGGGGACACCCAATAACAATTTAGACGATTGCCGTTCGGTTTGTCCGGGGCACCTATTCACAATCCGGTGCTTGATGCTTCGTGTAACGAAGGGACTCCAGAATGTTGCCGTGTACGGAAGCGATATCGTTGTGTACAGCAATTTGGAACCAGAGCACTTAGTTCACTTGATGGCTGTGCTGGAGCGGATCCGGGAGGCTGGCCGGCGGATAAATGAGGCCAAGTCACAGCTCCCTCGAGGTTCGGTGACTGCTGGGGCACACAGTGGGTCAGGGAGAAGTTAGCCCACTGCCCGAAAAAATGGCCAAGATCAAGGATTGTGCCGTTCTCAATTCAAAGCGGTCTCTACGGCAGTTTCTTGGACGAGCAGCATACTCCAGCCGGTTCGTCAAAGATTTCAACAAGATCGCTGCGCCATTGTACGATTTGCTCGGTCAAAATCAGAAGTTCGGATGGACCGGAGAAGCGCATGAAGCTTTTGAGCGTGTCAAAGCGCGGATGTTGGATCAGCAACTAACCCTCAAACTGCCCAGGATCGGAGAGATGTTCATTGTTGGAATGGGGTCCCAAAAATCATGATTGGAGCCAATGTCCTCGTCGTCGAACTGGATCCCGGGAAGTTGGTGCAACTCCAACGGCAGAATCCGGTATTACAAACGGTTGCAGCCGCCTTGTTGGATGGAAGGAACATTGAGAACGGAGAAGGAGACAAGGAATTAGAAGCGTTCCAGAGTCAATTTGATTGGCTGAGGCTGAATGAAACTGGCATAATTTCCTGGAACGCCACTGATTCAGATGTGGTGCTGCCCGTGATACCTCGCGTCTTGAGCCGGAATCTCATCGTCGAATGCCATGAGGTGGCACATACAGGGTTCACGAAGACGTACGACTCACTTCGACGGAGGGCCTACTGGCCCGGGATGAGGAGTGAGGTGATGGGTTATGTGATGTCCTGTAAGCGTTTTTAACTAATGAAAGCGGATACGACAGGGGCAACCCATCCCATGGAACCCATTCCTGTCTCAAAAATAGGCGAGTTATGGTCAGTTGACTTCATGGGCCCCTTCCCGTTGACAACCAGTGGGAACCAATACATCGTGATGATGACAGAACACCTGTCGCGATGGATTGAGGCGGCAGCCCGGCCGAATCAGCGGGCGACGACGATCAGCGGAGTGGTAATGCATCACATTGTGGCCAACCATGGGGTGCCAAAAATGATCCTAACCGATCAGGGGCCTTGCTTCGAGAGCGAAGAGTTTCGTAATTGCTTGCAGAAGCTGGGTATCAGACGGCTAAGGACGGCACCCTACCACCCGCAAACAAATGGCCTGGCCGAACGTAGTAACCGAACGATCAAACAGTGGCTTGCTGCCAAAGGAGGTGAATGGGAAATGAACTTGCCAATGGTGTTGTTTGCTCATCGTGCTTCCACGCACTCAACCACAGGCAAGTCCCCGTTTCTGTTAATGTGCGGTCGACATCTTTGCCTTCCGGTTGATCAGGAAATTGGGTTGTGAGCGGCAACATGCCTGTCTCCGGAGGAGCTAGAGGAAGAAAGTAAGATAGCTCGAGAAAATTGGACCGCCATTCAGGAAAGGACTAGGCAGAAAACTGCAAGTAGAAAGGTCCGAACGTTCCCCATGGGGACGAAGGTCAAGTGGAAGGATCGACAGAATTCTGGAAGGAGTGGACTGGGGTCGCGGAAGCTGGGCAGTCGATGGCAAGGGCCGTTTATCGTCAACGACTGCCGGGGGAGCGTCTATATCATTCAAGATGGTCGAGGATCGAAAGTAGTGAATGGGACGCAGCTTCGCAGGTGGCATGATACACCCGAAGAGCGGCCGAGTAGACCCGCTGCCGAAGCCGACCCGACGGAGATAAATGAAAATCGATGGCATGCGTACGAGCTTTAAGGGGTGAAGGTGTGTAACGGTGATACTACT